GCAGAACAGGTAGTCGGTACTGAAAGTGCAAAATGGTCCCGTGTAAATACCCTTTTCATACTTGCCTCAATGGAAACATTGGAGTACCAATAGTAATACGCTGCCTGATGCACCCTGCTTTGTACACACTGAAAAAGCCTTTTTTGCTGAGGGTGTATGAGCAATGTGAACACAAGAAATCTGCTTTTGTAATACTTATTGTGATCCTTTAAATTCTTTTGTTTAATGATTAAACCTGATCTAGAAGAGGGCATTTATGGTTGTTCTTGAGTCAAAGGCTGAGCTGATGCAGGACACAGTTACGAGCATCCTGACCCGCTTTCAGGATGCAAACCAGTTTAAAACAGCAAATCCTTATTGTTCCAGAATTTGTCCTAACTTAACTGTTGGGACTCGGTCCTCCAGTGCTCTTCCTAAAATAGGCAGAAGTACTCATGGGATGTTTGCATTGCAGCCAAATCATAACTCGGGACTTGTTTGCTTCATTCTTGAGTCTCCTCGGTCCCTCGCCTGCACCCCTGGCTCCCTGTTTACTTGTTGCAAGGTTTCATAACCCTCCCTCACTGCTGCTTTTGTTGGCGTTGACCTTGAAACACCACTGGATAATGTATCACTGCCCATGTTCTTGTGTTCTCAAAATTTTTATTAATTTTCAACTTACTGCAGCAGTATTTTTCATATGCCATCCTACAACCACACAGGTGTGAAATCTTGCTGCAGCCCAAGCCCTGTTAATACCTCTGCAGTCTGGGATCTGCAGCCATCTGCCAGATCACTCCACTGCTGGAGGAACAGGGACGGCAGCCCGAAGAGTTGCAAGACTGTCTGATGACTTCAGCCCTCCTGGAATTGCTTACATGACAGCGTGAAAAATGCACGCTGAGTTAACGTTGCGTTAACGCAATAAGAGTCGTTTCCAAAAACTGGGTTGTCCTCTCTGTGCAGCGCTGCCCTTCCCAGGAATGCTGCTGGGGAGAAGTGGAAGATGGATTAGCTGGGAGGGCAGAAGGTGCTCTGGCAAAGATGCGGGAAGATTTATTTCCTGCTGAATGATGTCCATTCGTGACTCAGCGAAATGCGAGTGGCCATGTTGTTCTGCAGAGTCATGAGTAGATACCAGGAAAGGAAAAGTCTGCCCTGGCCAGGTGCCGGCTGCTCTCCACGGGCAGGGGCAGGAGGAGGTCGGTCGTGGCCAAACACCGAAGGCTTTGCCCGCCTTGCAGGAAGGAAGCCTGGCTGTATGGTTTATTTCTCCGCGGTCGGATGACAGAGCGGAGGCAGGAGGATGTGCACAAGAGCTGGGTGTCCTGACTGTCCTGCGCTTCCTCCCCAGGCCCAGCTGCAGATGTCGCCTCCCCATCCTTTTCAAAATGCTGATTTCTTTCAAACATAAAGATTGGAAAAGGGACGACGTAGCTGCATCCTGCATGTCATCCTGATTTGCATCACATACTTTACTTTGCTTTACTCTGCGTAGTTCTGCATGGCTTTTTTCCAAATACCTTTACCTCACGAGTTATTTACACACCCCTATAAGTCTGCTGAATGACATCTTTAAAGTTTGTTTTGGCTTCTAAAAAATCCTGAGGACGCCCTTTGTGTGCCACGCAGCAGCCCACTGCATCTTTTGTATTGATGGTCTCCAGTTGCTAATGACGCGCTTAGTTAATTATTTGCCAAGGTAACAGAAGCCAGTTTTAAACTCCTGCCAGGCAGAGCAGTCCTGGAGTGTGGCCGGGTTACCTGACCCATGCCGGCAGCCCGGACTCGACAGCGATGCAGGTCCCGCTGCGGCTCTGCGGAGCCTGGGACCATGCGGCTGCAGTGCCGGTGCTGATCCAACCCGTGCCAACAGCTGCCCCGACCTGGCTCGGCAAGTCTGCACCGGGAGCCACCGAGGAGCCTTAGGGATGCACAGGATGAGCAGCTGCTCTTGGCTGCAGCTGGAGGAGGATTTTGCATCCAGCAAATCTCCCTTTGACCTTTCTGAGAGCTCGGCTGCTGAAAGTTGTACTTGGAAATTTAAAGGGCTGTTAAGAGGAACTGTGTCGTCAGCGCGGCGTGCAGGGAGCCGCTTCCCGGTTCATCCGAGGGAGCCCTGCGCCGTCGCCACTGGGTGATGGTGGCTGAGGAGGAAGTAGAAGCTGCAGATTTTGTTGCTATAAAGCTGCTAACCCTGTGCTCGGTGGCGATTGATGCTGCTTTTTACGCTTGGGAGAGGCAAAGTGCACTGCTGCCGTAGGCGAAGCGGGGTCTCGCTGGCTGGCAGATGATGGTGTGAGCTGGAGAGTGGTCGTCAGCACAGGGGCAGAGGAAGGCAGGTGACTGCTAGCTTTGATGCTGTAATGACCCAAGTAAAGCATCATTTCTGATTTACAAGTGTTGCTTTCGCTTTACAAAGACTCCATGAAACCGGGCTACAGGGACAGTGGGGAGTAAAAGTTCTCCTCCTTGCCAGGGACTTTTAAGACACTAGTTTGATAATTCCTGCCACGCAGCAGGACTCTCTCCATGCTGTATTTAGTAAAACGCATCCTTCCTTCAGCCTGGCTGGTGTCCCCCGTGCAGCACGAACTGCGGGGATGGGGACGTGGGCTGTGCATGTCCCAGTGCTGCAGGAGAAGCAGAAGTTCCCTTAAGTAATTTGCCCTCGACTGATTCATCAGCCTTGTTCCATAAACAGGAAGCTGGGAAAGTACAAGCAGGTGATCTTGTGCTGCTGCAAACATAAATTATATCTGATTGCTTATATTTTTTTTCCTCCAGCTGCCTGCTAACTCTTTATCCAGGTGAACAATTGTTTCGTCAATGAGTGAACTATTTGCAGTAGGGAGGTCTTTCAAGTTCACGGTACAGATTTAGAAAGAGCTTGACTTTGAGACAGAGCTTTTCCCCAATCTTAATGCTGCCTGCACTATTTTGGAGTGCTTCAAATCAGAGCAAGAGAGGAGGATCCTTCCCCTGGGGCCAGCCTGCTTCCTTCTCCCAGTTTCCACAGTACCAGACTTTATTTCAAGAGCGTGGCTTCCCATGTCGCCCTGACTAACGTCTTCCAGGACTGGAGAGGTGGAGATTTCTGAATAACCCTGCTAATTCAGGGAATAGTCCCATGGTGGAGTTGGTAACACTGGTTGAAGCACCGTTTGTTCTCTCCCACAGCATTTGGTGTTGCAAACGAAGCTGAGCGCTGTTCAGGGATTGGAAAGTGCAGCGCACGTTGCATGCTGCTGCCAAGCAAAATAATCCCTGAGAGTGCCGTTGTGGTCTGGAATAAACTCCCTTAATGTCTAAACATAGGCAAGACAGCTCAAGTCTGCTAGGATTTTAGATGCGGCAGACACTCCCCCCTCTCTTCCCCCCAGTAAAGGCAGCAGTTCAGCATCTGCTTTGAAGCTGCCGGTCCTGGGGAGAAGACTGAAGGAGTCTCTAATTAAAGCTAGCACAGAAGGGCTGCAGTGGGCAGCTGGCTGGGGCGCTGGGAGCGCCGCTGGTACCTGACCCCATGTTTGCTTTGGCTCTTTCCTTCGCCCAGCATCATCTAATGGTTTGTCAGGCGGCAGGAGGTGGGAGGTGGTACTCGCTGCGGCCCTCTCCCCCTATTCCCCACCGTTATTGAATGGTCAGGGACTGAGTCACTGCTGGGCAGGGCAAGGAAGTGACTTTTCCCTGACACCCCTGCAGCAGCCCCACGGAGATGATCATAAAGAAATGACCTGAGAACAGTGTCTGGCCAAGGCAGTCCGGCTCGGACGGTGTGGCCGGAGCTGCCCTCTGGCATGCCGCAGCCCTGGCTGCTGCCCCACTGGTCCAGCCCGAGTGACAGTGATGGATTATTTTGGTCTCATAGACAAACTTCTTCAGTTGCTGCTTTTAAATTTCGAGGAAGGTTGTTTAACCGCTTGCATTCTCCCTGCCGGGGTGCCCGGCTGTGGTGTGGCAGTTGCAGGGACATGGCACCACGTGCAGGTTGCACCCGGCCAAGTGACGGGTACATTAAAGCCCCACAATCAGCACAGCCGGGGATGGGTGCAGAGTTTGGCAGCTGGACAGGGTCTGCGAGACCCTCGGAGACCGGACACTTGGTGCACAGAAAGGGGTTATGCTTCGGCAAAGCTCCAGTCCTACTCCGCTCTGGCTCTGGCTTGCCCTGCGCTGCTCTCCTCGTTTCCACATTCAGCCAGACACTTATTTTGCACCATTTTTGTGGAATGTTTGTTTAGACACGAGCTATCGATGCCTCTTGTGCTTTCATATTCGCCCGTGTCTCTGTCTGTGCCTCACTGCCTGTCCCCTGCTTCCATCCAGTGCTTTGGCATTTGAGAAACCTCTGCCCCTTCCCTGAGCCCTGGCTTTCCACCTAGCCTGGGACCATCTGTAGCTCTTATTTAATTTCTTACTCTACTCTTTTGAGGGACATAATTTGAAAAATGATGGATAAATAGAATAGATCTGAGTTTGTACAGTATCAAGCGTTTCTAGTTGCTCCTCGGAGCCTTGTTGTGCAGAGGAAATCCTGACACAGGAGTCGGGGCAGGACGAAGGCAGTGGTGCAACGAGCAGATGAAAAGCGAGGTGAGCATCCAGGAGCTGTGTGTGGTCATGGTCGAGCAGCGTCCCCGTCCACCTTCCCCCTGCCTGTCTTGCTGCAAGCGGTGCATGGCAGGTTACACGGGCTGGAAAATTGCTGTTCGCTTTTCCAGTCAATGAGTTGAATGCGTTTGGCAAGACTTTCTACAGAAAAAGTTTCATTTTTCCCTTCTCGTCGGCAAGTTTCTGTTTGTTTTTTTTTAATCAAAAAAAAGCCTGAAAAGAGGGCACCAAGAGTGCTGTTTAAAGGAAAGGAGAACTTGAAGCAAAATCAGGAAGCGTTAAGTTGGTGTCATCAGTTTAGAGCTCATGGAAGCCCTTTGCACGTGGCTGTTGGTGAGGACACAGTGTGCAATCCTTTCCAAGATGCTGCATGATGCCAACCCCCCCTCTCCCCCCTCCTTGTTTTGCAGTATTCTCACGTGCTGGGGCCTGGAGCCGATGGCAGACAATGTCAACAACTAACAACATAGCGCAGGCCCGGAAGCTGGTCGAGCAGCTCCGCATTGAAGCCGGCATTGAGAGGATCAAGGTGAGCACAGGAGCTGGAGCAGCATGATGCGTGCTGCTCTGGGGTGGGCAGGGATGGAGTGGGAAAGGTCCCTGGGAAAGTGCTTTGGGTTTTCCCCAAGCATGTGCATGTTGCTGCAATGTCTCCGGCTCAGATACTGCAGCATTTCTAGACGGGACCCCTTCCTACGGGCACTGCTCCTACCAGGAGGTAAGGCCACAGCCTGGGCAGCTTCTCCCAGGTGTTAGAGGTGCCCATGCGATCCAAGGGCAGACCAGCCACTGGAGTAAATTCCTGGGGCTCAGCTGGGCACCTGCAACCTGTGAAGGCACTGAAGCTGCAGGGGCTGGACACAGCAAAGCTCTGCTGGGCATGCTCATGTGCATTCCAGTCTTGTTTCCCCATTTTTTTGCAGGATGGCTTCACTGTCCATGTGCAGTTTCTCTCTGAAAGTCACTGCTTGCACAGTTATTTCTCAGCTGCTGCTATTCCCAGTTCTTGCAAATGAACAAGAATGGTGGCACGCCTTCACTCTGGTTTGAGGCATGTTTATGGTAGAACTAGGGAAAGTTAATTTTGTGCTGCAGTTGTCCAGGATAGCAAACTGGAGTCTATTCTCAGCTGCGTGCTGGCTCACCAGCAATCTGCTGGGGCAGCAAAGGAGCCCCAGAAATAAAGCTCCCTTTGGTGCTGGGGGGTTGGGGCAGGTAACGTGCTCGCAGCCACAGCGTCCCCTGAGAGTCAGAGACTGGGTCCTCCAGGAGCTTTCACTCTATTCTGGGAACCGGCTTGGTGACTGTGGTACCCAGGCTCATTCGGCCACGTGAGCCCTGGAGAGCAGCCTTTGCTGGAGACAAATATTAGCATGTGGGCAGCAAGTCCCAGCTCTGTGAGCAAGACACCCCGAGGCATTCTCTGAATTTACGCCTCTTAAGCCACAGAGGAACCGTGCTTGTCACCCGGCTCTGCAGCCCTGCTGCCCGCATCTGGACTTTGCCAGCCTTGGTCGGCAGCGTGGCTCGGGCAGGCTGTGGTCGGGCTGCTCTGCTGCCCATCCCTCTGAGAAACTCCCTGGGGGGTCAGAAGGAGGAGAGAGATGAGATCTGTTCATTGAAAGTCATTTGTCAGTAAGTCGTGCAAAGAAAACCCCTGTGCATGGTGATGAAAGGCACGGTGAAACTGAAATACTGTAAAATGCATAGGTATCTATCCACCTGACAGTTTTTATTTTAGTTTCCTGGTCAAAGAATGTTTTTTTTAACTTTCAGTCCCTGGTACTTCTGCAGGAGCAGGTCCTCCGTCATCTCCGGTTTTGATGTACAGGAGCTGCTGCTGCTGCTTTGAATATCTGGGTTTTTTTTAAAGCCATGAGGTTTTGTAGCTGTTTTTAGGGCCACCACTTTCCAGACTCCAGTGATGCACCCATCAGCGAGGCCATTTTAGGGAAGACAAAGTAAATTACAGGTCTTCCCCCAGCACAGACGTTGCTGACTCTCCTAAGAATTACTGTGTCTCAGCTCCAGGATCCCAAACGGCGTACCCCGAGTAGGAAGGAGGGTGTGTGTATGCTTACCGACCTTTGTAGCTGTGACTATCTTAAATGCTCTGCTGGGAAAGAACAACAGTGGTGGGACCACAACACGCTGCTATTTAGGCAGGGTGGAGAAGACGTGCTGTCTGGGCAAGCTTTCAATAGAGTTGTGATCCGCAAACCCAGTTCTCGAGCGAGCGTGCCAAGCCAGCCAGCTCCTAAGTACAGTGTCAAAAGAGTGCTCGCCCCTTCAGCTCCTGCTCGCCGAACCTCGCAGCTGAGGTCGGTGAGACACACATTTGCCTGCAGATAAACAAGCTAATACACTTCTGAGATGAGGGGAATGGCTGCCCCATGAGCTGTTAACAGCAGCAAGAACAGCAGTGTGAGGAATGCTCTCTGATTCCTCCCCGCGAGGTCTGACGGAGCACCCGACGCTGCAGTCGAAGCAGACCCCTGCCACCACGCTACCATTTTCCTCCTCCCCAGCCCGAGCAGCCCATACATCTGCTAGAGAAGGGCCAGGCCTTTTCTAGCGACTGCGTGTGTCTCATCCTTCCCTTCACCGACATGGCTGAAGCTTTAAGAGGTGTGCAGAGGTTTCCAGGCCACTTGCTGTCATAACAGGTTCAGCCGTGCTGCCGGCAAGCTAGTCTCTTTCCCCTTGCTTCTTTACTCTGAGATTAGGCATAATTACTGTCTTATGGGAGTAATAGGTTTAAGGCAGAGCCTTGACCTTGTCTCTCTGCAGAGCAGTTTTGCTGTTGGATCCCAACGTATGTGATAAGTATGTTTTAGTGCAGGCCAGCAGCAGTTGGTGTTCATTTGAAGTGTTCATTACTGGTTAAGACTTTAATACTTACTATTGCAATAATACCTAGAGACTCCCACAAAAGCACCTTGTCTGATGCAGTCTCAGGACCTGCCTTCCCAGCAGACACCAAAAAAAGGAGAAGGATGCCCACCCTGTGGTGTGGAAGCACCGATGAAGTGGTTTGCCCAAAGCTGCAGAGAACCGGGGTTTTGTTTCTCCTCCTCACTGTGCGCTCTCGGTTGCTGCTGAAAGGTTTCATAATGATGGCACACAACTGCACATTCCTGCTGGGCAGGTTGCATTGCTCTGCAGGCGGCAGCTGCCGAGGCGCTGGCTGTGTGCCGCAGCATCCTCTGCAAGGCTGCAGAGCGTGGTGACCCCCGGTAGTGCCGTGATGAGAGCAGCAGACCCCCTAAATCATAGCTCTGCTCGGCTGAGAGGGGTGAATCGCCGCGGTGCCAAGCGGCCACGGAGATCCCAGGAAGGGAACCGCTGCTGTAAGGCTCTGCAGCTACAACAGGTCACATCTGGGCCTTCCAGATGTGGTCTCGTTGCGTCTATGTTTTGTGTTTGCCTTATGTTCAACCAGCTATTAAGTTATTTAAAAAAAAAAGGGCTGCTGTTGGTCTCCAGAGCTGCTGGCTCCTCCCTGCCTGGACTCTCCCCATGCCTCCCGTCCTCCTCACTGCCAGACGGTGCAGCCGCATTGCTCGCCCACCACCATGGTCCCCTCTCTGCCAGGCTGCTCTGGGCTCTCAGTTCCCAGAAGGTGTCTTTGAACTAAAATTAGCAGAGCCTTAAGTAATAATTTCTAATGGTTTCAAAACCTCCATTTTTAACATCAGAGGATGGCCACTCTCAAGCAGGCTTTTTTTCCTTTTTTATCCCAAAGCCCTTAAAAATGAGGACAATAATATCTTCTTAAAAATCTCTTGCTCTCGGCTGGCAGTATTTTTCCCATACTCATCCCTTTATTTATGTCAGACTTTACATGTCCATTTCCCGTTTTCATTTGTCACCATCTCCATTAAGCTTCTGTTACAAAAAGCTGAACCACAGTTTGGTCTCTTCCTCCCCACAGAACTCGGGGGAGTCTAGTCCTGCCTCCTTCTCCTCCAAGCACCCATCAGGCATGCTTGGGAAGCGGTGGTGCTGCGTGGGCTGAGCTCTGTGCCTTCACCCAAATATTCTGACTAACCTTCTGCTTTCTTGCAACATTTAGGTCTCGAAAGCATCTTCTGAGCTAATGAATTACTGTGAGCAACATGCCAGGAACGACCCGCTGCTGGTTGGAGTGCCCGCTTCGGAGAATCCTTTTAAGGACAAAAAGCCTTGTATCATCCTATAGCTTTCCTTGCTCCGGCGCGTGTGATCTCTCAGGCAGGGCACCGTTCTCCATCAACTGAAACCAAGCTACAAACTTACAACTGCGCCGAGGGGTAAACACTAAATCTTGGATTTAAATAGAACTTCAATCTCAAAAAAAAAAAAAAAAAAATTGCAAGTGGTTTAGGGAAGGGTGTCTGCTCCTGAGCAGGTGCCACACTGAGAGGGGTCAAAATTTAAAAACAGAAAAAAATCTAGGGTTGAGGGGTGGGGGGAGTATTTTTAATAGCGACATTTGAATTGGTACCGGGGTGGTGGAGGCAGTGGGGGTTTTTATTTCATTTACCAATGGGATGCAAGACCTGAGTATCGGGACCTCGTTGGTAGAAGCTTTGAACAAAGCTCTAAGTGGGTCTGATCCAATTAGTTTCCAATTAGCGCATCGTTGCAAGAACTTGCTCCGTTTCTTGAGAGGGAACAAGGGAGAAGAGTCCAGGTGGGGAGCTATTTTGTAGAAAACTAGTACACAAAAAAAACCAAAACAAACCCACCAACCAAAACACAGCTCGAAAAATTGCTGTTGCAAATGGATGAACCGAGGCTGGGAGGAGGAGGATGGAGGCCAGGGGGCTCCCTCCCTGCGCTGCACGGCTCCGCTCGGACGAGGGGATGGCACTGTGGGGAAGCGCTCTCCGGCATCAGATCCATCGGCCGAGAGGGTTTCCGTGAGCGGCGTTAGGAAGCCCGAGGCATGGGAGAGGCCGGGCTCGACCCCTCTGATCACTTCTGGGGTTTCTCTGTGTTGTTACCACTGTTTTTCCCAAACAGGACTGTACCAGGGGCGGGGGGAGGGAAGGGGCTTTCTGTTGTGCGGTATCACGTGAGAAATCTTTAAAATTGGCCTTTTTGGAGAGTCTCAGTCCAAAACACTAAAATTGGCAGATTTACCAGCATTTCCTATCTCCCTTTTTCTCACTGGGAGTGGCAAGTGGAATTTGTTCCACTAAACCTGGTTAATTCAGGGAGATGAGGGTAAGGCTGTAAAAGAAATAGTTTGGTTCCCATCCTTTGGAAATCTTGAAATGCAATTTAAACGGGGAGCGCTTTGTTCACCAACGTTAAACGCACGCGCCGCAGAACCGGGGATAAACCAGAGCAGAGCAGCCTGTGAGGAAGAGGAGACAAGCAGGCGAGCCTTCCTCCCGCTGCCCACCGCAGAGCCCTGCTGAGCGATGGCAGCGACAGAGCCCGGCAGCTCCGTGCCAGGGCAGGTAGATACTGGGGAGCAGGATCAGAGCTCAGGCAGGTCCCACCGCATCTCCCCTCATCGCTGGAGCTGCCGACGCCAGCGTGTTGGGCACCGTGCAGCCGTCTGAGCCGTGGCGTCGCTCACCAGCTTCCAGCTCTGTCGGGGAGATGACGGGTCCCGTGTGTTGGGTTTTAAGTGACCGAGCCCCATCTGCGTCCGCAGGGCAGAGCCCAGGGCTCGGCAGCTCCTCAGAGGATGGCGAATGCTCCCCGTGGTAGGCAGAGGCACGGTTTGGTTTCCTAACCAGCACGCTGGTACCCACTCCCGGTTATCCTGAACATAGGCATCCCATGCTGGTGTCTGAATACAGGCGGTGCCGAGTTTTGGGTTTGGGAAGAGAAGGAAAAAAAAAAAACCCACATCTGATGTGAAATCCTGGGAATTTTCCCATTCCCCCAATGCTTTGGATTTGGTTTGAAATGCCACGACCTCCTGCTGGGATGGAAACCGTCCATGGCCGATCCCTTCATGGGACAGGGAACGCTTCCCGTGGCCGCGGTCGCCGGCACCCCCTGGGAGAGGGTGGCTGGAGGAGACCCTCGAGTTTGACTTTTGGGGAAACCGCTGAACCGCGCTCATGCTTTCTGTCGTGGTTCAGCTGGAGGGAGGAAACGTTGCAGCCCGTACTGGATGCTGCGTGTGCTTAGACTGGTTGGAGTCGCAGGTCCGGGCGGGGCACTGGGAGGCTTTGCTGGATGCTTTTCGGAGGCTGATTGTGTTCCCAGGGCTGTCGCTGGCTCCCAAGGCAGAGGGAGCTGCGCAGGACGATGCCAGAGGCCGGCTCGAAGGCAGGGAGAGGAGCAGAGCCTGCGGCTGCATGGCCGGTACCCGGGGAAGGCGGGTTGGCATCTTCCAGAAGGAAGGGCAGCTTTGGAGGGTCTTCCTCCCACAATGCAGGGGTGGGCTGTGGGGTGTTGGGCTGAGCGCAGCTGGCCCCTCTCCAGCATCAACCGGCCACACAGCCGGCTCAGCAGTGCTGGCGGAGGCTGTGGTTAGCAGAGCTGCTCCATTTACACTTCTCGGTTGTAGGTATCTCGCCATCAGTTTTTTTAAGTACGCGATCACTTGCCCTTTTAAACGAAGTTGGAAAAAAACCCACATTTTTAACACTAATGCAAACCACAGCACCTCCTGTGTACGTCTTGCAGCTGCTTTCCTGGGGTCCTTTGCTGATCTGAGCGTTTTAAACCTCCCGTCTCCCCCCACCGCTGTGTCATGGGCTCTTGTCCTGGCACCAGCCTTGTGCCAGGTTTTCTGGTGACCCCCGGGATTTCATCCCGTCCCAATATGAGCACTGGGGGAGGTAGAGCAGAGGGAAATGTATTTATTTCCCTCTGTGGTCGAGCATGTCCCCAGCCCTGCTCACGCCCCAGCCTGGCACCGCGCTGAGCATCGTCCGTCAGCCGAGGGTGGCAGCCCCGGCACAGCAACAGGCAATGCCTTTTTGTTGGGTTTGGTTTTTTTTTTAAATCTTTCATCCAACATAACTTCAAGCTCTCGAACGCCGCATCTGTAGCGGGAAGTGAGCACAGTCCTGAGGTGTGCCTGGGTTTTGCCACAGCAGGGCTTTCTCTTCTCCACGAGGGAATTTCCTCTGTCCTTAATCTAGTACAGTTCCAGCCTTATTTTTCTACTCCAGATTGCTGATTCTTCCTCTATGTTAGAGACCAGTGCATGGTGCTATAGCCAGTGACCCAGGCAAGTGCCCGAGCTGCAGGTCAGCCAGAAAAACCTGCGCTCCGCGTGGCAGCGAGCGAGCAGCCGAGGTTACCGCAGGAGCCGCGCGCCACTCCTCCGCTCGAGACCCGGACAGGGGCTGTCATCCCCCCCACCCATCATCAGCTCGTGCTGCCCGAGGGGGGACCCCGATACCCCTACCCGGGTGGGTGCCAGCCCTGCCTGTGTCCTGCCCTCGCCGGCCCCCCCGGGATCACGATGGGGCGGCTCAGACCCGCAGCACCAGGCGGCTCGCCGTGGGATGCTCTGCCGGCAAACGCCACGGGATGCTCTGCCGGCAAACGCCACGGGATGCTCTGCCGGCGAAGCCAGCCAGGCTCGCCACGGTCCAGCAAATTGGGGTCAGTCTGCCTCTCCCCCCATCTTTCCGCCCACTGTGGGCCATGCTCATCCCCGCTGTCTTGCCCGAATCGTGCTGCGGTGCCGGCGGTGGGATGGCCGGCGAGGAGCGAGGCAGCAGGTTTAGGTTTAGGTTCGACGTGCGGCTGGAGCTGGGAGAAGGGGTCGGAGCATCTGCTTAGGGTCCCCTGGGAGCCTGGGGACAGGGCTGGGGGGTCCCGGCACAGGGATGCCGGTGGCAGCAGGGTCCTGCCGGGAGCCGAGCAGGGCGGGCAGGGGGCTGCTGGTGGGTGCTGGTGTCTCTCAGTGGGTGACTCATTAGGTGGAAAAATCCTCAACCTTTTTTTTTTTTTTTTAAATTTTTTCCTCGTCTGAGTAAATCGGTGATCATACTGTAGATGTTTTTGTATAGCATAAATATAAGTGCAAATTACAGTAGTCGCTTGTACTTTGTTAGTGCATTTGCCAAAAAAAAAAAAAAAAAAAAGAAAAAAAGGAAAAAAAACACTTTTCAGGACTTTTTAAGTGCTCCAGATCATGAAGGGGGAGCGGGGAGCCAGGGCCTCCCTTGTGCCGCTGGTGGGGCGTGGGGCAGGCGGTGCCAGCAGCCCCGGCTCCACAAAAGCCTTTTTTTGGACGTAAACACATGCCCAAATCTGTCTGGCGTTTCTTTTTAGCATGTGGTGAAGCCGTTGCCAAAAATAGAAAGGAGAGAGACTGCAGAAGAAAAGGGAGAGGAAACTTTGCTTCTATTTAATTTTTTGGTCCGTTTTCCTTGTCCTCCCCTCCCTGTCTCGGGGACCGTCCTGGCGGCGCAGCCAGAGCCGGGAGACGCCCGGGCACCCGCACGGCACCCGCCGACGCGGCTGCGAGGCTGGCGGGGTCCGGTGGCTCGGTGCCGGTGCCGGAGCCTCCCAAGCCCAGAGCTGAGCAGATCGCCCTTCCTCCGAGTACTTAAAAAGTCAACTTTATTTAACAAAGTAAAAAATAACGCATTTACTTCATTGAACAGAAGCCACGCGTCTGATACTTTGCGCTCTTAATTTTTTCTCTCTGGTCTATTATTATTATTATTATTATTATTATTATTATTATTATTTGCCAAACTCTGGTCTTGTTGCCAAACGCAAATCAAGGTTTGTAAAGACTGTACTTAGGAAGTAATCGGTGTCTGTAACGTAGGCTCCTCATAACGTCTGCATTTTTGGATCTCTTGATTTTTATTTCTGGTGTGCCATAGACCAATTTCTTGCACAGTGTTTAATATTTTGTGGAATTGTTGTTAAGAAGTGAATTGATAACACAATAAAAAGGCTCACTTTTCATTTTGCCAGATGTCCTGCCCAGCCTGTCCTGCCTCTGCTGCGGGGGGACACGCGGTTCCCCGGCACGGTGGGTGCTAGGGTGGTCTCGGTGCTGCCAACCTGGGGGCACGGCGGCCCCCCCGGCCACTCGCCCTTCCAGGAACAGCGGGGCTGCAGGAGGGGAAGTCATTAGAGCTGGGTAATGACTGACCCTTCCTGCTGCTTTCTCCGGAGTTGGGTTCCACGAAGACCTCCTTGTCCCCATCCTTGGGGCGTTTCGGCCACCTTCGCCCTCCTGCCTAAGGATGCTTGGGGGGGGGGGGTGCCGTCACCCTCGGGGGCTGCGCAGGATCCCATCGCTCTCCCTTCACAACCCCCCCGGGGGATCACAGCCTGCAGAAATAGCCGGGCTGGTGCAGCCCCTTGGGGATCCCCTTCTCCCACGCTCAGGGGCTGCTCACACCACCC